ATATTTCTATAGATTTACAATATATCAAAATCAAAACTATTTATTATTCTTTAATTTTATAACCATATTATGGTATTAGGAAAGATATACCTTGTTGGTAAAGGCTTTTAATTAGTTAATTCGTTTATTAATAACTTGCCTTATTTTATTATCAATTACTTGCGCAAGTTGAAATTATGTTTACCTTATTTTGCCATCAATTACTTGTCTCAAATGGTTTTATACATTTTATCAACCTTGTACTCAAATATGATTTTATACAATTTATCATATTATAAATGTATATCCTATAAATTCATATATGTAAACTATATATTTCTTTTTTGTCATCTTTTTTTTGGTCATCTTTTTTTTTTGTCATCTTTTTTTGTCATCATAAACTATATAGTTCTATGTCAATTATAATATAACTTTATACAATTTATCACATGACAAATTATGTATATAATTCAGAGTTAGAATATGATATGTGTAACATTTTTGTATATATTTCTAATACTAATGTTATAATTAAATCGGTTAAATACAAATTTCTCTATTAAATATAAGTGATAAAACATAATCATTATATACTTCTATAGATTTAAAATATATCAAAATCAAAACTATTAATTATTCTTTAATTCTATAACCATATTATGGTATTAGGAAAGATATACCTTGTTGGTAAATGCTTTTAATTAGTTGATTTGTTTATTAATAACTGTCTTATTTTATTATCAATTATTTGCGCAAGTTGATAAGATGATTACCTTATTTTGCCATCAGTTACTTGTCTTGAATGGTATGTTAATTATTGCAAATTTATGACAGTCAATTTTCAATATCTTTCTTTAATTGCTTCATGTTTATTAAAAGAAAACAAATATTACAAGAACCATAAGACTTTATATATCTAAAGAAATGTCTTTACAAGAATTTTTATGACAAATATTTCAGGAACCATAAGACTTAATGATAAAATATGATTATTAATTCATAATTATTCTTTAAATTTGATATATTCTGAATTTTTTTTTATATATAATTCTAAACAAAATAATCTTTTTAGGAAGTATTTTTTTAAATATACATTTAATTGACAAATTTTAAAGTTAAATTTTTGTGAAAATATATATCTATTAAGTAAATTTCTTGTTCTTTTAGGATGTCATTTATTAGTAACTATATACATCTGATATTGCATTGATGTGTATGTTCTTTATTTCCTAATTAGTTAATTCGGAAATATGATGATTACCTTATTTTGCTATCAATTACCTTGAACAAATTTATATGATAATGGTGATTTGAGTTAGAAAAGCCTAAAACTATTATTCATTTAGAAAACCACAAATATAATGGTGATTTGAGATATAGAAAATCCAAAACTATTATCTTAATTATATATATATATATATAAATATGGATCTTAAAAATGTGATTTACTATATATATACATTTGTTTGTTTTTATATTAACAGATAAATAACACAGATGAAAGACCGTTTGTAGTTGATTACAAAACATTTTTCAGTTTGTTTCAATAGCGATATGCAAATTCAATATTATTTTCGTCTCGATAAAATTTAGAAATCTATTANAATAACACAGATGAAAGACCGTTTGTAGTTGATTACAAAACATTTTTCAGTTTGTTTCAATAGCGATATGCAAATTCAATATTATTTTCGTCTCGATAAAATTTAGAAATCTATTAAATTATTTTATATTGTACAATTGCTAAAAAAATTGACAATTTTTTTAGCAGGTTTCTATGGGACTTTTTTATTCATAAATGTTCTTTTTATTTTATATTACTTATGAATTATATTTAAATTTTCATCACATTTTCTATGGGATTGTGATATCTATGAGATTTTTATCACATTTTTAATATCTCACTGTCTCCAGTATATCTTACTTACATTTGTTTTTTTAATAGTTAACTTTTATTAAAAACATACTAATGATGTTAATTTTTTTAAAAAAAAATTAAGCGACAAAGAGCCTAATTAAGCCGATCCAAAAACAAACCGAACTGAATATAAATTGAACTGGACATAAACCACACCGAACCAGACTAAATTAGATTTATGTCAATTGAAAAAAAAAAATATTAAAACCGAACTAAACAAACCAAACCGAAAATGTAACGATTTGCCCACCTCTACTGCATCCTAGAGATTTGCGCAAATCTTGTCTCAGCATTGAAACTCTCACTTGTTCCAATAAGTCCCACATTTGAACTCAATAGATACTTCTGTCTCAGCATTATACTATATTTTTATACCCGCACAGGGTGCGGGTGGGTCACCTAGTTAAATTAATTTGCTATTCTCGACAACTTTTTCTTTATTAATTGTATTAAATATTCGTATGCTGTTTTCCTATAAAGAAAAGTAAATTGCAACGTACTTGATCTTTAGCGCACACATTAACATTTTGTTTAATCATCTTACATGTTGTTTGCATGAATATAAAGTAAATTATAATTTTAATTTAGTTAAATTTTGATCATGTAGGTAATGCCATGGTTGTTGCTTAAGATTCTACAGGCTGATCCAATAAATTAAAGAAAAAATAATCTATGGTTGTTTTAGGAATTTACAATGTCATTTACTGGCTTGCCAGTAACGATATACTATCTTAATTTCCCTTGATATCCTTGATTTATTGTTTGAGAAAAGAGCGTTTTATGTTTTTACATATAGTAATTACCAAATTTATTTGAATTTCAAAAAGATGTTCTGATCTCCATAAATGAAATGAGAAAAATACCATGATCGTGTATTTATGTCGTAACAGTTCATGATTTCAAGTTTTCACATTTTTGAATATAATGTTGCTCATGTACTTTATAGCTAAGGACAGTAAGATGAGAATAGTTGATTGTCATAAGTAATGTTTTAAAACTTAGATTGTACAGAAAAAAATTATATATATAAGTAAATAATTGGAATTTATTAGAATATTTTTTTAAGAGATTTAGAAATTTCTTTGGATTTTTTTTCATTCAGTTCTACATGTGCATATATATATATATATATATCATCATTTCCATAAATCTATTTATTTCAAGTAAAAGAATACCTGATTAATTAAAAAAAAAAAAAAGAATACCTGATTAACAAAAGATATACAAAAAGAAAAACTAGCGGGACAGTATAGTAAATAGGTAAAGGTGAAAAGAGAAAAGACGTGGCGTCATGTGCTGAGCTATGATCGTGCGTAGAAGGTGCTTCGTCTCTAATCGTATGTAAATTGTAAATGGGCCATAATAAAACTTAATAGGTCTACGCAATAGAAGTAGTTATTGGGCTTAGATGTAAAATGTTGGGCGCGGGTGTTAAACGAGGTATGTGATAGTATTACAGACCATGTTGCATGCTTACGTGTGTACCTGCGTGTGTATGAAGTTTCCACGTGAGGTGATTAGCAAAACGAGGGAATATTTGGATTGATGAAATCACAGGTCAGTAAGGTCAATAATGTTGGCATTTAACGTCTATTTGTGAAGGCCAAGATTTCCCTCGATAACAATATATATTAATGTACTGATGTAGCGCAACCTAAACATGCTACACTTGATTATTTGCGCTTAAGATATACTAACTTCCGAATACGAACAAACATAAGGATTTAGAAAAATATTGGGCACCAAAAAATACTCTACGTTACATTACATATATACATGCGTGTATTACTAACTTTCTATCGACTTGCACTGAGGAATGAAAATGAGTGAGATCGAACGGCCAGGATTTGGTGGAGGGGTTGTCACATGGGCCCATGGAAGCGTCGACCCTCGCACATCGCCATTATTGCAATAACGATCCACTCCCGCTAAACGCCATTGCGCTTATTACTTTAAATAACACTGTTGTTAGAATCAAAGAGCAGATGATAACATTACTTCAAGATAATAAAACGCCGATAGTTGACAAAACAAGGAATCAACGCGAGTCGACCAGAAAAATCAACGTTTACGCTGCTTCATTAATTATCCTGACCATTCGATGATATTTATAAGCGCATAGATGTGTGTAACTAATCACGTGCCTGCTGCTTCATACACACTTGTGCATTTAGGTCTTCCTAGTCATTATTATAAATCTCCTCTCTCTCTTACATTCTTCATTCCTTCTCTCTCTCTCTCTCTAGAAACACAGATACACAAACAAATATATTTACATAAAGATTAGAGTCTAGAGAAAGGGAGTGTTGTGTGATGGAGATAAAAACTAAGAGGTACTGGCGGAGGTGGAGAGGATACGAGAAGCTTGATGGGTCATCAACGCCGGGTCGGATGAGTGGAAAACGGGTCAAAATGGATCCGACCCGGAAGAAACGCTTTTGGAGGATCAAGATTATGCCAAAACTGAGGATCCTCAGAAGGGCTTCGCCTAAGAAGCTTCTGGTTTGGTTACGTGATTCTTATGTTAGTATGATGATGCGGTTGGCGAACTCAAGGGCCGTTGGATCTTCTGGATACGGTGGATCTGGTTTCGGCCCGCCGCGTCAGATGAAGGAGTATGATGAGAAAGTGCTTGTTGAGATTTACAAGTCCATATTAATGGCGCAGGCGCAGGGGAATCTCGTGCAACGCGACATAGCTGATAAACTTCCTTCTGAACCAGCGGTTGTTCCTGTCTCTTCTTCTGTCGTTATGTGATTAAAACAACTGAAAACAACTATCCGTTTTTCCTTATAATAAAAGATAATCAAAATTCTTGACTTGTTTGATATGTATCAAAATTACAAAAAAATAAATAAAAGAGTTAATTATTAGAAAGAAATACTAGTAGATGGTGGATTGTGGGCCGAGCAGTAATGTTTTATTTAATGGGGTTTTGCATTTATTTATCAAGTTTTGTTGAATCTATGCTTCTAAAATATAAAGATTCGCTGTTGTACCATGCATCACCTGTGTATAAATCTTTATACGTATTATTAAGGTGGTTCGTCTATTTAACATATAATTAGTTGACTAATCCGTGGAAGTTCAGTTGACTACTTCCGCTGAACGAAAGTGTTATTCTCGTATTTATGAACGAAAGCAGGAACGTAATTATTAGTATTCATATAGAAATATTGGACTCGTCAAAATGGTCCTTAAAAATGGACCACCACCATGTTTAGTAGGGCTGGGCAAAAAAAACCGAACCCGAAAATCCGAACCGAATCCGACCCGATAAAAAGGAATCCGAACCGATCCGAACCCGACATAAGTACCGAATGGATCTTGTTTTTACGGTATTTCGGGTTATGGGTATTACCCGAACCGAACCCGAACTTAAATGGATATCCGAAAGAACCCGAAACTTTAAACTTCCAAAAAAACTTGTATCATATCCAATCTAAATTTCTAATATGTTTCCAAAACAAATTAATATATTATTGAGTACCTACAATAATTAGTTATGATATAAATAACTAACTCAAATATTTAGTCTAATATATAGTGTTATTTGGTTAATATTAATGTTTATGATTGACATTACATTTGAAGTTAAGTTACGAATAAATTTGTTTTGAAGTTTATATAATGTTGTTTTTATAAGTTTAAATAGCACTTCTTATGTTTATAGAATTGTTATTTGTTAACTTTAATCTTTTATGTTTCATTATGTAATATATTTTGTTCATACAAGGCTTTGGTTTGTCATTGATCATGATATGTTTAGTGTTGTCACATATAGTTCATTGACAAATCTTATATGGTTGATAGATGAGTTTCAGAATATTATTTTGGAGGAGAACAATATGGTTTGTAGAAGCTAAATACACAAATTTAATAAAATGATTGAAAATATAGTGAGTTTAATTGAGTATAAATTAGTATTTTTAGAACCGATAACCCGATTAGTATCTGAAACCGAAACTATTTCGGGTTCAACCGGATCTTAGACATGTTACTAAACCCGAACCGAACCTGACTAAACCCGAACCGAATCCGACCCGAATTTTTATAATATCCGAATGGGGCTGAAATTTATGAACCCGAAAATCCGAGACCCGAATGAACCCGAACCGAAACCCGATTGGAACCCCGATTGCCCAGCCCTAATGTTTAGTCTAATCTTTAACTAGTTGGTGCTTCATAAAATCAAGCCTACAATGGGCTTAAAGGTTTAATATAGCAACTTCATCATTCTTTTCCCGGGTATCAAATAGCCCATTCTAAATGGTTTGGAAAACTAACTGTAGGAGTCTGTCTTGGAGAACGAAAGATTAGTTTTTTGTAAAGTAACAAAAGAAAAACAGTTTGTTTCATACAGTTTAACCTAAAGTTGCATGATAAAAGTTTATTTGATTCAAGTATGAAAGTACATACGCTAAGATTTGATGTTACAGTCGATCATCTACCCACGTACATTTACTTGTATTTTATCCACGAAGTTAACAAAATGTAGAATACCACTAAATTCTATACATCTAACTAGGTTTGATATCACTAAGCTTTGATTCTTGATCTTTCACTTCAACACAGGCACAGCTAATTCATTAATTGGTCATTCCCATTTTTATGTCTTATGATTGAATCAATATATGAATTATAAATCAAAGAATATTTGTAGATCTAAATTAGAATAAACCAATATAATACAAAAAGAGATCTGATGTTCAAAGTACGACAAATATCTCAAGTTCGCAGGAAACTCTATCATCATTTTAGTTGTTTATCTGTTGTTTCTAATTGTTGTATGTGTGTTTATTTAATTTAACTACATTCTAAGTAATAATTAATTTTCAGTTGTTAAAATAAAATTCATTTTGTGATCTATACTGAGAAGATAAATTACTTTTAGAATATTTTTATAAAACTAAATTTTAACTTTAGAAAATAATATTTTTAATAAAATGGAAATAAAGAAAAACACAATAGACATCAATCCTTTCAGATTATAATTTTAAGGAAGAAAAAATTCTAAGGTTAAAGAAAAACTGTACTTTTTGACTAAAACAAAAGGAATAAAATTATCTTCTTCGTTTTGCTATATTGTCTGTCGTCTTTATCCTTACAATTTTCTTTTTTTTCCGTAAAAGTGTTTCCTTTATATTTTTATTATTTTAAAATTATTTATGGATAAAAATAAGGCAAGATCACAACGTCAAAAGAAAAAAAAATAGAAAATCAAAACAAGCTCCGAAAAAACCACAAAAATCAACCACATAGGAGGCTCATACAAAATGTGGTATCGTAATAACATATGCAAGAGCATAGTGGATAATAAAATTCTCCTTCTCTCATGCCTTAACCTTCTCATGTCTTAACCTTTGATATTCTGTTTTTTACAATAAGGTGCTTCTCTACTTCATCACCACCAGATACAAACACACAAAAAAGTAATCACATTTTCATACTTTTGAGTTTAACCTTTATTTACGTATGTGGTGTTATCAAAGGCTTACTCAAAAGTAAAAAATTGGCTCGCAATTCCACAATTATTGCACCTTAATCTCCTAAACATTATTTGTTAACTAATCACACACAGAAACTCATCAAACATCCATGGAAATACCATCTGAAAATCAATCCATATTCTTGTTCAGCTAAAGCAATATGAGCGCACAGAAATTAACCACAGAATTCAATACGATTTCCAATCAAGAACGAACGATAACAAAAGAAGTCTCAAACATTATAAACAAACACACAACACAGAAGCATGAAGGTTGTAACTTGTACCAGGATTAAGCAAAAAGAGGCTTAAATCAAAGCAATAACAACGATCTTTAAAGCTTACCCGACTCATTCTTGAGTCATCAAGCGATGACATAACTTATAACTACTTCCTCTACGTCATCTTCATTTTCAGATGCCATATACTTAGCAAGATGTTAATCACCAATGTTCCCCATACGTTTCTCTCAATCTTCACATAGAAGCTCCTTATGGGCCATGTCAGTTTGTATAAAGAATGAAAGATAAGAAACGTTAGTATTAATGAAATCATAAACATGATATTTCTCTTTCTCTTCCTTTTTTGTCGTCTCCCTCCCTCTTTCTTTCTACTGTAGTTTGTTTCTTGTTAAACAAGGAAACTTATATAAACCCAGTTTTCTTTATTTTATTTTTGGTTTTTTAATTCTTCTGCTTCCCGTCTGACAATCTTTTTTTTTTTCAACAAAAGTTTCATTGTATTAAGCCCATTGGGCAATTACATTTGTTATCAGGATTTTACAACTAACGAAAACGTCCATTTAAAACACTGAAAACGGCCCAAATGGAGAAACATCCAGAGGGTGCTCATGCTGACGGTTGATCCTCCTAATGCCACGTCAGATTTTTTGTCAGAATTTTTTTTCGTATTAAAATCATAATTATAAAGACAACATAACATAAACAATTTTATTTTCTATATAACAAAATATTAAAGCAAAAATATGTTTTTAAGCCAAACAGAAATATAAGTTCTAAAAACTCATTTTATGTATCAATAATGAAAAAGATAAATTATTTTTATAATATTTTTATAAAATTTTAAATTTCCCTTTTTAGTATTTTAGAGTATTTCTTGAATATTATCAGTACTGAAATAATTTAATTATTTAAAATATAATATTTTTAGTTTTTAGTGTATTTACTATTGTGTTTGGTTAAAAAAAATAGAGAGAGTTTAATCCTATATACAGATGTGAGTATTTGTAATTTTTTTTGTTTATGAATTTTTAACAAAACAATTAATACTAAACATGATTGGTTATTTATAAGAGAATATTTTTAAAAATTCTAAAAAAAAAATTCTTTGGGATTTTCAAAAAAATGTATTATCAAATACTCTTATTTCATAAAGATTTGAGAAAAGTAAAATTACTGTCACATAATATTTTACTATTTATATTTAAAGGATTTTATAAAAATAGCAATGAAAGTTTCCAGTTACTATTGAATCAACTTTAGTACTATTTTTTTAATATCATTAATATTTTTTACAACTTTTAAGTTAATAATTTTTAGTATCATGTTATTCATAAAACTCATTTTGAAAATAGCAACCTAAACTAAGAATATTAGAGGATGGGCCCAACTAACTTTCGTTAAATTCTTTTTAAAGCCCAGCTCCAATTCTCAGCCCAGAGAAGTCATGCACAGAATAAACAAACGATAAGCTATTTCCTTTTATGTGTTGGTGTCGGTTAAATAAATTGATAAAGCAATTGGGAAAAGGAGAGGTACATGACTATAAAAGGAGAGGTGACCAAGCTATTATATGCATCCGATAGAAAAACAACAACATATAGACATCTAGACTCCTTTCAGATTATACATTCTAATGAAGGAAAATTTCTAAGGTTAAAGAAAAAATGTACTTTTTGACTAAAACAAAAGGAATAAAATTATCTTCTTCATTTTGCTATTCGGTTTGTCGTCTTTATCCTTACAATTTTCCTTTTTTCGTAAAATTGTTTCCTTTATATTTTTATCATTTTGAAATTATTTATGGATAAAAATAAGGAAAGATCACAACGTCAAAAGAAAAAAAAATACAGAATCAAAACAAGCTCCGAAAAAACCACAAAATCAATCACGTGGGAGGCTTATACAAAATGTGGTATCATAATAACATATGCAAGACCATAGTGGATAATAAAATTCTCCTTCTCTCATGTCTTAACCTTTGATATTCTGTTTTTTACAATAAGGTGCATCTCTACTTCATCACCACCATATACAAACACACAAAAAATAATCAAATTTTCATACTTTTGAGTTTAACCTTTATTTACGTATGTGGTGTTATCAAAGGCTTACTCAAAAGTAAAAAATTGGCTCGCAATTCCACAATTATTGCACCTTAATCTCCTAAACATTATTTGTTAACTAATTTGTTAAAAACTACTTATGAGTCATTACCACATTCATTCTTTAGGAATAAGATAATATGGCTTGGTCAAAAATGTGTCATGTTAGAATTCATTTATGAAATTTTACAATTTTGGTAAGATTCTTGAATTATAATAATAACTTATATGTATCACTGTTAACAAAAATTAAAACTAGTAACATAATTATATGTATATAAAATGTTCACATATCTTAGAATGAAAATATAAACTATTCTGGTATTTATGCTTTATGAAAATGAATTAAAAATATATTTTTTAATCTAGAGTTCATTTTATACTTAAATTCATTAATCGGTATGTAAAAACTAATTAAATTAGTAAATTATTAAATTATATATAACACTTTAAAATGACCTAAGTTGATCTATTAAGTTGATTAAGAAATGACCTAATATCACTTTAATGTAAATATTATCCACTTTTTAAAAATTAATTCAAAAGTTAATTTATCATTTAAATGTATATATTAACTAAAATCAGAAAATTGGATTTATAAATTTATGTTTTTTTGTATCTTTTATCAGAATTTTTTTTTGTAATAAAATCATAATGATAAAGACAACATCATATAAGCAAATTTTATTTTCTATAATTTAAATGTAACAAAATATTAAAGCAAAATAAGTTTTTAAGCCAATTATAAATATAAATTATAAGAACTCATTTTATGTATCAATACTGAAAATATAATTATTTTTAGAATATTTTTATTAAATTTAAATTTTCACTTTTTAGTATTTTTAGAGTTTTTAGAATATTATCAATACTGAAAATAATCTAATTATTAAAAATATAATATTTTTAGTTTTAGTGTATTTACTATTGTGTTTGGTTAGAAAATGAGAGAGTTTAGTCCTATATCCAGATATGAGTATTTGTAATTCTTTTTGTTTATGAATTTCCAACAAAACAATTAATATTAAACATGATTGGTTTTTATAAGAGAACATTTTTTAAAAAAGTAAAATATTTTTTCTTTAGTATTTTTAAAAATAAATAAATATGATCAAATACTCTTATTTTATAAAGATTTGAGGAAAGTAAAATTACTGTCACATAATATTTTACAATTTATATTTAAAGGGTTTTATAAAAATAGCAATAAAATTTTTCAGTTACTATTGAATCAACTTTAGAATTTTACTTTTTTTTTAATATCATTAATATTTTTTACAATTTTTAAGTTAATAATTTTAAGTATCATGTTTATCATAAAACTCATTTTGAAAATAGCAAACTAAACTAAGCATATTAGAAGATGGACCCAACTAACTTTCATTAAATTCTTTTTGAAGCCCAGCTCCAATTCTCAGCCCAGAGAAGTCTTGCACAGAATAAACAAACGATAAGCTATTTCTTTTTATGTGTTGGTGTCGGTTAAAGAAATTGTTAAAGCAATTGGGAAAATGAACAAACGATAAGCTATTTCTTTTTATGTGTTGGTGTCGGTTAAAGAAATTGTTAAAGCAATTGGGAAAATGAGTGGCACGTGACTATAAAAGGAGAGGTGACCAAACTATTCTAGGCATCCGATAGAAAAACAACAACAGAGGGATTAATTCGTTCGCTTATAATCTCTACTTTTGTTCTTGAGAAACACTTTTCTGGTTTAGTTAATAAAGGCAAGTTTTGGTATCTAATTTCATCTTAAAATATTAAAACTGAAGTACAAATAAAACTTAATCCAGACTTTTCCTAAATATTTACAAATCATGCCACTGACTTAACCTTCCTTGATTATTAAAACAAACAACCCAAATTTTAGTTAATAATTAAACCAAACATCACGACTAAACCATCTTTAATGATAGCTATTCTTTTCTGGCTGGGTTACTGGGGAATTTGGCCTCTTTATTTTCTTTTCATTATTCTGCTGGGGAAGTCATATGAATTTTGGTGTTGCAGATAAGTTTATTTAAGATTCTTAGTTTCTTTTGTGGTTTTCGTCAGGGATCTCTTTTATTACACAAGGTCTGATTCTTTTGGGGTTTTAGGTTTAGTTTTTCGAAGATAATTCTGAGCTTACTAAATGTGGAGAAAATATTGAAGCTTAAGTGTTTGTTGAAATGTCTTGAGTAAAATTAATCTGTTTTAAGTAACTATCGATCTGGCATGGTCCGCATGGATCCAAAGTCTATTTCTTTCTGAGAAATCAGCAGTTTTTTTTTTGTTTTGTTGGTTGTACTTAGGGTTTTGAGTTTGGTGGAGCTTAGACATTATAGTATCTGAGGGGAAAGTATGGCTTGCATGAAGCTGGGATCCAAATCAGATGCTTTCCAGAGACATGGCCAAGCTTGGTAATAAATATTCACCTTTTATCTCTCTTATGTTTCAGTGTATCTTTGCTTCTTCTTGATTTTCTCCTTCAGACGTTGAATGAATTGGAGACTTTTGGTCTGAGTATTACTGAGTCAAAGCTTATTCCTTTGTCTGGCTCTGTCTTCTTGCAGGTTTTGCACAACTGGACTTCCAAGTGATATTGTCGTTGAAGTTGGAGAGATGTCTTTCCATCTTCATAAGTTTCCTTTGCTCTCTGGAAGTGGAGTCATTGACCAGGCGGCACTGGAAGATCTTGTAATGCCTAACTTTTTCTCATACAATGGAGACTCTATACGATGTTGACTCTGTGCAGAGGATCTTAGATCATTTTCTTAGTACGGATATAATCGGATCGCCGCAGTCAATAACATCAATGACAGTGGTTGCAAAGCTGATCGTTGGGTATCTTGCTGAAGTTGCACTTGATGTCAATCTCAAGCTTTTAAAGTTCGAAGCTTTAGCTGCTTCTATTCCTTGATACGCCGGACTCTTAGATGATGGACTCTATCGTGCAATAGACATTTACTTAAAGCATCATCTGTGGTTACCGATAACAAAAAGAGAGAATCATGCAGGTTTTTAGATTGCTAGAAGCTCTCTTTAGAAGCTTGCACACACGCGGCGTAGAACGAGAGATTACCTCTAAGAATAATAGTCCAAGTCCTGTTCTTTGAGCATGAGATGAGCAACTGCGGTAAGAGAGAATCAAGTCTTGAATCTTGGAATGGATAGTATGAGAATGCGGGTTTGTAAGTTAGAGAAAGAATATTCTAATATGAAATAGGAGATTGAGAAGCTTGGTAAGACGGCAAAAGGTGGTGGTGGTGGTTTGAGAAGCGGTAGCAAAACGTGGTTTGGTATTAAGCTGAAGTCACATCAAATGCGCAGTGCTCAAGAAGGGTCTTTGTCAAAGTCTAACAACGAGAATGTGACGATAGAGAAGCTTAAGGATGTTGAAAGAACGTCGTGGAAAGCATAAAAAAACGTCGAGCATTAGTTCTGAGTGGTAAACAATGATAATCTTTCCACAGTTAAAGGAAAAAACTTCCACTGTTGTAATGCATGCATTGTAGTCAAGAGGTCTCCAATTGTCTATGTATAACAAAAGTATGTGATTGTTATTTTTTTTTGCTGGAAAAAATCATCTTTGACAACTTTACCACACAACCTAAATTTTAACTTTTGATTTAATCAATTGACACGACTTAACCATCATCTTAAATAACTTAACCTAACCACCTCAAGTCGATTGTTTGGTGAGTTATATTATTTTACCAAAGCAATAATTTCTGTTAAACCTAAACCATAACACTATATTTATACGGCCACAGTGGTAACTTGATACCACTCATATTCATCATAAATGAAACTGTCTCATTGTATTCCGGTTAGACATCACAAATCAAATTGTCTTAGAAATCAAAGATTTTATATGGTTTACATACAATCAAATGTGTTTCCCGGTTCATATAGATTACAAATATGGAATATGTATCCTTCTTTTGTAATTTATTTTTGAATAAAATACATACTAAAATTATGAATTTTTAATTGTTATACAATTTGATTTTCTTATACCTACAATCAAAGAAGTTTGAAATGAAATTCCTAATTTTTATGTATGGATTTAACCAAAGTGTTATCATAATAACTAATCATCGATTTGAATATCCATATCCAAATTGTCTTATTTAAACAACATCCTAAATGTATAGAAACAAATCAATATCTAATCGTAACTAACCAGCGAGAGTATATATACATTAGCTGATAAAAATATAATCCATAAGATTTATTATGCATGTCTTACGTTAACCCACATGATGTTCACATAAAAAAAACAAATTATGAATATAATTACTCTGCAAATGGTTTGGCTATAGTTGTAAGTAACCACTAGAGCTTGACCCGCACGACCGTGCGGGTGTTTATTTTCATTTTTATGGATAAATATATATATATATATAAAATTATTTATATTATTTTTTAAACAGCTAAATTTTATAGTTTGTTTGTTTGTTTTATTTAATTAATTATTTCAAACTCACATGTATTTGTTACTTCCTATTATATATATATTTTGTTGGATTTGTGTATAATTATTTGACAAAAGTTTCAAAAATTTGATAATTATTTATATTTCTTTCTCTATTATTAAATCTAATAAATGGATCTAATTTGAGTTTAAGTTATAAGTAGCAGTAAGAAAATAATTTTGTTTAGTATTTATTTTTTAATTTTATGAAAAATTTAAAATATTCATATACACCAATCCTTAAGCATTTTATTAGATATTTATAAAAATAATAAAATAAATGATTGAATATTAAATCATTTTTAATATGTTAAATGTGAAGGTATAGTATTAGAACATAAGTGTTTAAGTAATGTAATTCAAACATATATAAATTTAAATTGGGATTTACATAATATAGAAATCTTTTTATCTATTAAAATAACATACATCTTATAAATGGGAGAATATAGTATGTCAATAACAAATGGATCATTGCTAATTAGTCATTCAATTATCTTGTTCTCAAAAGTCATAAAACATATATTTTTGGGAAAAATAAATATATGTACGTTTCTCAATCTAATAAAGACTTTAATCCCTTTTTTTATTGTTGAATAAACTTTTTTGCGTATATTATAAATGTATAAATTTAATATTATCTTAAAAAAAATTAATATATGATTTACATTATAATGCTATATATAATGTAATTCTATAATTTTATTGTTTTATTTATTTTACATTACTAATACATACATTTTTTATACATTTTAACTTGTCATAAATTGTTATTACATAATAATATAATTTCAAATTAAGTACAATAAATTAATAATTTGAAATAATCAAATAGGTAACACCTTTCAAAATATTTCTTTTATGCGTTTTATACATTTTTCTACAGTTTGCAAGAAAAATATTTTTAAATTTTATTTAGTTATACAATAGAATATATATATTTTTTATGATCATTTATATTTCTTGGTTGTGTTTAAAATATATAATTTAGCATCTATAATTTTAGTATACAGAAATTTTTCATAAAAAATCATATTTTTATATTCAAATAATCTAGACTAATAATTACGAAATTAATTAATGCATTATATAAAAATGTTTAAATTTTTTTGTAAGATTCTTTTTCAACAGAATTTATATTATTAGAAATAAAATTAAAACAGTTTTATAGGTGAAGTAGTTATAGTGTTGATTAAATAAGTTGTGATATCTTAATAATGACAATATGTTAATAAAAATAAATGAAATAGAATTTTCTAAGGAAGGTCCATTTTTAAAAAATATCACACATGAATAGAAGTTTTTTAATATAATAGATATCCTTTTCCCGGAAAAAAAAAACTGTTTGCCTATCAAATTGGGCTTAAACTTCTTTTTTTTTTAAAAAACGTTGCCCATGTTTAGTATTATTATATCATAGTTACACATTTTTATTACTTATATGATTAAATGGGTTTAGTATGATGGATTAATATAAAACCCAAGAAAGATGTATATGTAATTAAAAATAGTAAAGCAGTTAACCTATTTGATCTAATATAGTACTTATTTGTTGAAAATTAACATAAAGATATATATATCCTTAATGAATAAAATATAATAATTTCATACAAAATAAAAATGAATTTAAAAACTATTTGATTAGATAAGTAATTAAAATTAATAATAATCATAAAAATTATCCAAAATATAAATAATATGTATTTTAATAAGATAATTCCTATATATATTGTGTTGTTATCTGAAAATATATATTTTAATAAAAACTATAAAATACATAATTAAATATTAATCAAGTAAACATCTTAATTTTATATAATTAAAAGGAAAAATATTATTTTATTTTAAGATTTATTTTTAATAGTGAACATAATGTATAAAGAAATATATGTAAGAATGTTTAAATGAAAATATAAATATTATTGTTTAAAAAAAATAAAACAGAAATAAAACTTTATCATTATAATCTTTCAATTAGTAAAAAATGTATTAATAAAATAATTATAAAATATTTAGGCCCGTAAGTGCGGGTAAAACTCCTAGTATATATATATATATATATATATATATATATATATATATATATATATAAACAACCAAAAGAAATTACAATTGAAAACAATTAATAAATCGATGCATATAAACTATAAAATAATATTAACCATCTATCAATATTGGTAAGTGGTAAAATATATACTATCAATGTTTCTTAATTTTTTTGAACAATATAAAGTTTAAAAAACATCCAGAATCTAGTTCTAAGTTAATAGTAGTTTCCTATATCTTAGGGGTTTAGGATTATCTTTACCTTGACCTTGCTAGACAAGGATATGTTAAGTTGTATATAAGCACATCTTATAGAATCAATAAACGCAAGCTTTCTCGATATATTTCACAGATAGGGAAAGTATGAGAAGAGGATATGGTGGGTTTAGTGTGTTGGATATGGTGAAACCTTTTTTGCCGTATCTGCCAGAAGTGCAGAGTGCTTTTGAGAAGAAGAAGAATGGTTCCATTGAGAGAGAAGGTCATGTATACCCTCACGACTCTCTTCGTGTTTCTCATTTGTAGTCAACTTCCTCTTTACGGTATCCACTCCACCACCGGTTCGGATCCGTTTTACTGGATGCGTGCCATTCTCGCATCAAGCCGTGGCACCCTCATGGAGCTCGGTATCGGTCCCATCGTCACATCAGGGCTCGTGATGCAGTTCTTGACTGGCTCAAAGATTATTCAGGTCAACAATGAAGAGGATCATGCTCTCTTGAACGCTCTCAGAAGCTTCTCGCCTTTGTAATCGCCTTAGGTCAAGCAGTGACATACGTCCTCTCTGGTATGTACGGTCCAGTTGCACAGCTCGGTGTGGGAAACGCACTTCTCATCATTCTCCAGCTCGTCTTTGCTGGAATCATCCTTCAGTGTCTCGATGAGCTTCTCCAAAAAGGGTATGGTCTTGGCTCTGCGATCTCACTTTTCATAGCGACTAGCCTCTGTGAGAGCGTTATATGGAACGCCTTTAGCCCCGTCACGTTCTTCAAACGGTCTGGACTGGAGTTTGAAGGCGCATTGATCTCGCTTTTCCATAACTTGATAACCAAGTCAAGCATCCGACAAGCTTTCTTCAGACAGACTTTTCCAAACGTTGCGAATCTGCTTGCAACAGTCTTGGTCTTCCTCATCGTTGTCTACTTCCAAGGCTTCCGCGTTGTATTACCTCTTAGTTCAAAGAACTCACGGCAAGGCGGCTACCCGATCAAACTCTTGTACACCTCCAACATGCCAATCATTCTCCAAACCGCTCTCGTCTCAAATCTCTACTTCATCTCTCAGCTTCTCTACAACCACTTTGGTGGGAATTTCATGGTGAACTTGCTGGGACAGTGGAGAGGACCAACACCAGTAGGTGGTCTCGCTTACTTGATCACAGCTCCATCAAGCCTTGCAGATATTTCTGCTCATCCTTTCCACGCACTCTTCTACATCGTCTTCATACTCTCTACTTGTGCGTTTTTATCCAAGACATGGATTGAAGTCTCTGGTTCCTCCGCTAGAGACGTGGCCAAGCAGCTCAAGAGACAAGGGATGGGGATGGCTGGGCACAGAGACTCCAATATGCTCAAGGAGCTTAACCGCTACATCCCAACAGCAGCCGCCTTTGGAGGAATGTGCATTGGTGCACTCACTGTTCTTGCCGACCTCACTGGAGCTATTGGCTCAGGGACTGGTATCTTGCTTGCCGTCACAACCATTTATCAGTTTCTCGACACTTTTGACAAGGAACTAGCCACCGAGTCATGAAGCCTTTCGTCACTGTATACACTATATTGATTATTACATTAAACTCCTAGTTTCTTGTTTTGTTCATTCTGTCACTAGTATAAGATCTTGTTCTTATCTGACATCAAAAAATGGTTTATAGAGATATCAAAGAAATTATATCTATCCAAATTTTTTAGTGATATTACGTAAATTCCCCCTGTTTAGTCTTATGTTGTAATTATGATCTCATACCAATTGTCTGTTCCTTTGATTATGTATTGATAAATAATGAAAGAAGCTTTCTCTTATGAACGTTTCTTTATGTTCAATACTATTAATTTGGTGTTATAACAAGGAAATAACTTTTTTACTATTCATGAATTAACATACATAGAGCGTTATCTCATAGTTCACATCAAATAGCAAAAGAAAAATGAAAATTGTTTCCGAGGGACACAATTAAAAGCAGAGGGGATTGATTCACTACAAAGTCTCTAACCCAGCTTGGCCTTGAGGGAAGCAAGAGGGATCTTAGAAAGAACTTTCTCATCAAAGACAGAGTAATGTTTCTTCAGCGCCTGCAGCGTTTTCTCTGCCATTGGATCCACCTTGTCCTCATGCTTCACATACAGGATCGGTACTGTATGCAACACCATAAAACCTTGAGTATGTATTTATACCTTGAATTGGGTAGGTTTCGTATCATTTTTGCAAAGGGTGATGCCATCAACGACTTTAAGGAGTTGGAGGAGAATAGCTTGGAGAGTTTTCGTAGACCGGGGGAGAGAGAGTTGGCTTGTAAACCGGTGGAGTGTAAACTGGAGGTAGGAGAGTTGGTTTGTATGTTGGTGGAAGAGTTGGTTTGGTCTCTAATATACTAATCATTATGACTAACTTTCTCTACGGCTTATGGTATTTGTAATTTATATTGTTGACATGTAAACACACAAAAACATAACACGATCAAAAACAGTACCAACGAAAAAACGAATGGTATTTGCTAAAAAGTAAAAACCAATCAACTACAAAGTACAAACCAGTTCCATATTATGGAATTTCTAACTGACATTGATGGGAGAGTAAAATGTAAGCTAAGTTACTAATAGTGTTTCAAAAAAAAAAAGCTAAGTTACTAATAAAACACATTCTGTGATCAAAGAAAGAAGAGCTGACAAAAAAAAAAGATCAAAGAAAGAAGGTACTATCAGCGAAACTAGCAACTTTGGTTTAGGCCTCCCATTAATCAGATAAATACCTCATTACAGCAGATGATAAAGCAGTAGCAGTATGCTGCAGAAGCAGTAAGCTACAGAAGCTGTATGCTTTCATTAAATTTTTCAATAAAGTGATTGGCAGAACATTACAAGTATACAATTTTAAAATTGTCATAATAGTTAGTAAAATAATATATTTCTTTTAAAATAATATATATATAAAATATATATTAATAATATATAATTTTATTAAAAATAATTAATTTTCATTATGTAAATTATATTTAAAAATTAATTTTTTTAAAAAATATTAATTTTTTGGATATAACATATTCCTCATATATAAAATTATAGTTATAATTTAATTAATTATTATTAAATTATAATTATTATTAAATAAATTAATTAATTAATTATAATTTATATATAAATTATTATTATTTATTTATTGGCAGAGCACTAAATTACTCATATATAAAATTATCATAAAAGTTAATATATAATTTATTTATTAGTGTCTAAATAATATGTTTATATCGATAATATATAAATTATATTATGTTATGTTTGTTATTAAAAATAATGAA